CGAATGCAAGCCACCCATGTTTTCCGATTTACATTACATTGTAATGCAGTTCGAAAATAAAATATTTTCCAACCGTATATGGACGGTGTGGAGAGAGCTGAATCAACATTTAAACTGTAATGCAGGACAATAGAATTTCCAGCAAATATTTATGGACAATTAAATGAAAAAAAATATATTTTTATAGTTTGTTGGTGTCCAGTCCATAATGTCTGATGTGAGTGGGGAATTTGTGCTTATTCTGTGATTAAAAATTACAATTAAAAATTTTGGCTACAGTCCTGCACATACATACTGCACATAGGGATTCGCTGTAGTTATATTTAAGTTGAAAGGAGGAGCATTCATACTGTATGTGACTAACAATTCTTTTTTCTGTGTTAATGTATCATAGTTCTTCAACAACAGACAAACCAACCCTGGCGGAGAGAATACTGGAGGTGCCTCGGAGTTATATTTATATACCTGAAAAAGGTGAGTGCAAATATACAGAACTTTTATGTTATTTTATTTTAATGACAAACTGACATTAGCTCATTCAATAAAGATAAACCTTTGAAGTGATGCTGGGACTTAAATAACATCCACTGTGACGGAAGAGTTTTCCAGAGATAATGACTCATTTTGTTTTCCAGTGTTTTGTTTTCCACTAAAGCTGGCAGTATCAGCATTTGTTGCCTTTGTGGCAATCTATCACGTAAGTCCTCCATAAACCATTCTCATGAAAAACACGTATTTGCTGCTGTTTATCTTTGTGGAGTACAAATGTGGTCTTGATAACTTTGTTTACTTTGTTTCACCTTTCAGAGTGCATTGTTGTTAGTTGTCCTGGTGGTCCCCACTCTCCATATTGTTTGTGCTGGTATTGATGAAAACATCGCCTTCCTGTTGTTGAGGTTTGGGATTGTCCTGTCAGATGACAGAATGGAGGTTGTCAAAATTGTGACCTTCTACACTTGGCTGCTAGAAGTCCTGGTGGTCCCCACTGCACAAAGATTTGAAAAAATCTGAGTTCGTATTTAAGAAAGTAAGACACTAATATTGTTTTCTTTTTTTACCATTTTGTCTGTTAGTGTGCTACCTCTGTGCAGTGACCTCTTCTTGTCTGGTCAGTCTCATCATGCTCATGAGGTCCATGGTACTTCATAGGTAAGTGCAGTAAAAACTTGTAGAGAGGAGTCACTGGCTACAGAAGAATATATTTTCTTAGAACAACATTAATTGATTTTTGAACACTTGCAGGAATTGCAATAAGCAGACACACTATACAGTACACTCTGAAAAGAAATGTTTAGACTCAACAAAAGAAATTAACGCAACATTTTGCATTAGTCTTTTTGAGTTATGACAACGTCATTAGAAATTACATTGAACCAACAAACTACATTGCGTTAGGGGAATTAGCTTTTCCTCTTCAGTCAAAGATTATTTTAATTACCCCTTATTAACTGTTAGACTAAAGGCAAGATTTTAAGTTTATAACTCACAAAAATTATGTTGCTCCAAGTGGCTTTACCGTATTATTTTAAAGCAATTTTATATGTTGTATAGTTAATTACTATAATAATGTATACAAAATTTTAAATAGCAACCATTTTCAAAATTAAGTGGCTCTTTTGTAGGGTTTTATTATTTTTGTTAATGTAGTAGCTTTTAAGAAAGTCATTAGTTCAACCACTATTTTTGTGCAATTAACTTTTTTTTTAATTTTCAACTGCAGTTGAGTATTTGAACAAATTATATTTAAATCTAGCAAAAACAAACTCAAATTTCAACTGCTCCTCAAATTATAAATAAAGAATCTGGCCATACTCCCTTGAGAAATTAAGTATTAAGCATAATAAATTATGCCGTCACAGCAAAGTTAGGTATAGATATAACAGTCAAAAGCCAAGTAGCATGTCATGGAACTTTCCAAGAGACTAAGCTGTATATGAGTAAGCCCGCAGTAAGCCCGCATCAGTCATTTCCGAAACACCAAAAATACATTGTCTTTGGGCTAAAATATGTATTTCTTTAAACATCTTTGTTTTGTCAACTTTCAAGACAAGATTTGTTGAACATAAAGCATAACAAAACTAACCTGAGAGAGAAACATTCTGTAAGATTTGAGGGTTGCACAACAGCACGGTGGGTTAGCGCTGTTGCCTCACAGCAAGAAGGTCAGCTTGGTGACCTGTCCAGGGTGTAGCCCGCCTCTCGCCCAATGTCCGCTGGACTAGTTTGTGAGATGAACCTAATGTATTACTTGTTTAATTTGTTTCAGGGCCAACCTGAAAGGACTGTATAAGGGAGACATTTATAACAGCCAGAAGACCATTAGTTCATCTAAAGCTGGTCTTGTGTGTTGGATGGGCTTGACAGGATTCCAGACTGTGATTATTTGTCTTGGTAAAGCATTAAATAAAGAGCAAAGCTGTAATTGATTTGAACTTTATTTAAGGATGATGCTGGTAATATTTGTTACATTTTCTATTTATAAACACCATTATAGAGCTCCATTGTGGTTCAAAAATGATTAATAACATTAGTGAGCCACAGTTTGAGTGGCAGGCATGTTCCATCATTGTCATTCTTTTATTTTGACTCTGTCCCACGTACACCATCCTGCTGCCCCAAATACTAACTAAAGCATTGAATGTGGATTAATCCGCCACTGAAAATGGTCCCGAACAAATGCACTAATCGAGTAATATTTGTGAAATAAAATATAATAAATCAATATATTTATGAGTTACTTTTTAGCTTTTTCTTGTGGATCTGTTGAAAATAAGGATGAATAATGCCAGGCTTGTCCATAAATTGATGCTGCAGTGCAGAATCAAATAGCGGAATCCACTCTTCAGATTCATACAGATTAGCATTTAACTGCTTTGCTAAAACAGCTTTAAAGAAAAGTCCATATACCTTTTGGAAACCGGCTGGAATTTCACACCTAACCTTTCTGTTTCTGTGCTGCCTTGGCAGGAAAGGCTATCCAGACAGTTGTCTTTTTCATCTGCTTCTTATTCCTGGTATTTCTGATTATTATCCCCATTTTTTTATGGTCGTAACATTGTTGTCTTTGAAATTACAGGAAAGCTATGGTGAGCACACAACTTGTCATCCACTGTAGTGCTTTTATTTTACATATTTTGCTGATCAAAACAGAGATGGCATTTATTTGTTTCTATTTTCCATCTTTGCAACACATCAGGCCGGCCTGGGTCATGCTGGTGCTGGTCACACTGCTTCAGCACATGACTGCTAAGTTTGCTTTTATCAAAAAAGAAGCTGGAGCGAGAGACTTGAAAAACAGGTAAGTGAAGCCTTTTCTATACAGGGGACTGGAGTTCAAGCAATTAATGATAAGTGGAAGAATACCATTTAATTTTGAGTTTTTGGCTGCTGGTCAGTATCACATTCAATTCTGAAGACAGAACTTTAGTTCTAGTTAGTTTAATTAATTTAGCTTTTGTTAGTTTTCATAATGCTACTTTATGCTGTTCTGATGCCATAGCCTCTGTATCTGGTATGTCCTAGGCTGATGCCAGTATTTTTAATTCAGTTTATTGAATTTGGACTACTTTTAAGCAAACAAATAAATACACAAATAAATAAATGACTCAGTATTTTAATTCCTGAACTTAAAAAAAAAAGATTAGTCACAAGTGCAGCCACAGTGGCTGAGATCGCCTTAAGTTAGCTCCTAGTATGGGCCAAGCTCCAAAAGCACATTGCATAACACAGCACAGATTCTTTTCTTAGACCCTCTGTGTTTGGCACATATTGTACTCACATTTTCAAAACATTATACAACTTATTGTAGACTGAGAGGTACTAACCATGCTTAGTAGACTGATGTGTAAAATCTGTGTTGTGTCCTTTTACCAGAAAGCTGAAAATCCTGAGTATGGCCCTGGGTGATGCCTTGTCAGGGTCAGAGCCTACTGTATATCTCTGAAAACAACTAGCTTCATTTTTAGTTTATGGTGATTTTCAGAGAGAGTCTCTTCCTCCTGATGTACCTGCTATTCCTGGTCAACACTGTGATGGGACAAATAGTTGCAATATGGAGAATGGTGATAACAGCTTTGTATAACAGCATCCATCTTGGTCGTATTGACATCAGTCTCCTGCATCGCACTGCTGAGTCCAATGACCCAAGTATAACAGTATGGCTATTATAATGTTTTATATTTTAAGTTCATAATGCAATTCTGTGGTACAGTTGCATCATCTCACTATTAAATATGAAAGTTCAGTTATGTGGTCAAAGAAAATGTCTATGTACAGACTTGAAGATACTTTCTGGACATGGGCATAGTCTGACTTTAGTGCTGCTCTGTGAACTTTGACCCCATCCAGCATATCAGTACTACACCCACTTCTTGAAGGTGGAGGTTAGCCAGTCACACCCAGTAATGAAGGCTTTCTGCAGGCTGCTGCTGGACATGATGATCGAAGGTGGCCGAGCTGGACAGAAGGTAAGAGATGCAGAAGAAGGTAGAGACCTGAAACTACACCATATAGTAAAGCCAAGTCAAGTCAGATATCACTAATCACAAAGGGATTGTACAACAGATATAGGTGTAGCCTACAAAATGAATTTAGAATGAAAATATAAAATAATAGATTTATAGTATGGACATTGTAAATGGAAAAACTGTATAATGCGAACATGATCATAATCTTGACCTATTTGTTTCATTAGATTAAAAGTCAGTCGATCACAAAATTAACGTTGATCTTCTGGGGATGATAAATATTTATATGAAATTTCATGCCTTTAAATCCTCAGGTTTCATCAGCACTGCCATCTAACCTACGCAGCTAAAAAAAACAACAGCTGACTTTGAATATATAGACATCCAACAAGTGAATTTAGTTTTTAGAGAAAGTGAGCAATGAGAACCTGTAATTGTTATTTGTATAAATATCTTTACATGTTTTATGCTCCCACAGGGTTTCTCACATGAAGAGGTTGTGTCAGGTTTGCCCGGCTGCGCTTGCTTCTCTCACCTTTCTTACTCTCTTCACCCCTGATTATTGATCACGTTCACCTGTTCCTCACTCCTTTATCACCAGCTGCACCTGATTAGACTGTTTGTTACTTATACCCGGTTCACCTCTCCTTCACTTGCCAGTTCGTTCTTGTCCCTATGCTACACTCTTCGTTATCACTAGTTATTCTCCTCGTCTTTTTTGTGCTCTGCCTTACGTCACTTTTCTACTTTATCAGTTTACCAACGCCTCTAGCCAGCTCCTGTGTTTTTTTCTACTTGGACTGTTCCTCCGCACCCTGGCTCTACTCTTCCCTCCCAGGCAGGTCAATGCACAGTCACTGGTTGTTTCTGCCATAACCAACGTCTCTCTATGCCCTTTCAGTAGCCACCTCTCAACCACCGACCAGCCCAGGAGTGATCTCACCACGCAGCTCGGCCCACCTCGTCCAAACCATCCATCTCCTCACTCCTCACCTCCTGCTCCTGGTTGACACACCTTCACATAAATGGCTGAATGTTTGATGGACTCTACTTACAGTACAATAAAACAGATTTCCACAGTAGGCCTCCACCTGACACAAATTTGTTAGAGATGTCCTCCAGTATACATTGCTTGGTATAAACCGTGTAGGTCACAGGGATAGTGGGCCACATGCTTGTTAGCCCTTGGCCCCTAAGGGCTCCAAAATCAGTGATTTCATGTGTGATTAAAACCTATAAAAAATTGCTCATTCGGAAGCTAACAGGGAACCAAAGCAAACATTGCCACACACCAAATTGCAACTACTAATGTCATCTCTTCAGCTCCAGCAATGATAACTAACAGTATAGGTCCCAGCTACTGATGAAAAATGAACTTAGATTGTATCATGTTTGTGTAATAATCTGGGAACTTACTATAGTTTCATATAAACATGCACAATGTACAGACAGACATTGCTGAACAGCAAGAACGCATCAGAACTGGAGCAGTGTGTGTCGCTAAGAGGTCAAACTGTACTCTAGTTCATTTCTGCCCCAGGCTAATCCAGCCATGTCAGCACATGTTGGTTCTCAGTACTGTATGTTGTGTGTTGTCCCTGCATTGATGTTGGAAAGTGTGATCAAATTTTATCAACCTAAATTAAATGAAATTTAAGTTACAGTAAAATCCTCAAAGTTGGATTCACAAGAACGTCATACTCCAGTGTAAACTAAATGATGATTTAATACGGTATCTTAAAATGTGTTTGTATGTGGATCAGTTTTAACTTGCTTTTAAGAAGCCAGGTCTTGATCATTCTATTTTGAATAATTTTAGGCCTATTTCCAAGCTGTCTTTTATTTCAAAAATTTTAGAGAAAGTGGTTTTTATACAGTTGAAATCCTTTTTAGATGAGCATAATGTATTGGAGATCTTTCAATCTGGTTTTAAAGCTCGGCATAGTACAGAGTCCGCATTGTTAAAGGTTTTTAACGACATCTACTTGACAACAGATGCTGGTGGCTACGTGATTCTTGCCTTGTTGGATCTGACTGCTGCTTGACCACGATATCCTATTATCATGACTTGAGGAGTTAGTGGGCATCCATGGTACTGCTTTGGAGTGGTTCAGGTCTTATCTGTCGAATAGGACGATGTCTGTTGGTATTGCTGATGTTGAGTCCTCATTCACCCCGTTGGTATCTGGGGTTCCGCAGGGCTCAGTTTTGGGGCCCCCTGCTCTTTTCTTTATATTTACTTCCTCTTGGCTCTGTTTTCAGAAAACATGGTGTTTCTTTTCATTGTTATGCGGACGACGTGCAGATGTACATGCCAATGAGGGGAAGGGACACATCCTCAGTTGTTTCTTTACTGTCATGTCATGATGACGTTAGGAACTGGATGGCATTAAATCTATTGAAGTTAAATGACACGAAAACCGAAGTTATAATGTTTGGCCCAAATAACTCTGGTGATTTTCCCCCAGTTGATTTGGGTTGCTTACATGATCAACGTGCAGTCGACCGTTACAAACCTTGGTGTTAAAACAGACTGATTTTAGAATGGAACATCAGGTGAATGCGGTTGCACGGGCCAGTTTTTATCATCTCCGGCTGCTGGCAAAGGTCAAGCCTTTTCTTTCGCGGCAGAATTTTGAGTCAGTAATACATGCATTCATTACATCTCGTCTGGATTATTGTAATGCACTATATTTTGGGCTGAGAAAAGCTCATTCTGAGGCTTCACATGGAGATGGTTTAGTTTAATCAGGATGTGTGGTTGTTTAAACTTCTCGCTAAGAGCTTGTCCCATCTTTTTCACAGACTCTGTGAGCCAGTGAGAAAACTGTTCCTGGTCAGTATTGTTCAGGATCATGAAAGCGCCCACCCTGCTCTTGGAGACACCGAGGGCTAGGCAGAGACTTAGGGGGGACAGAGCATTCTCTGTGGGGGCTCCTAAGTTGTGGAATGCACTGCCCCTTTACATTAGTCAGGCCTCCTTGTTGTCCACTTTTAAAACTTATTTGAAGACTCATCTGTACCATTTGGCGTTCGAACCAGTATGAGCCTCTGTCTTGTTGAGCTTTTTTGTTTTATGATGGGTGGTTGTTTTAGTGTGATCCTGTTTTATTGTTGTGTTTATTGCTTCTGCTTGTTTTATTGTGTTTTAACAGGTTTTAGTGATATTGTGTTAAGCACTTTGGTCAGCTTCGGCTGTGTTAAACGTGCTATATAAATAAAGTTAATGATGATGATAATTTAAGAGTTTGTGAAGTGTTTATTAGGCACATTAGTCATTTTAATTATAAAATTATGATTTGTGCATTTTTATTGTTTTGCTTTTTACTAATCCTACCATGACAATTTCTAATTAAAATTTCAAAGTATTATTAGATTTTTTTTTTAACACTAATTCAGTCATGTATACAGGCACTGATTTAATACCTCATTTTATTCAAATATGTAATGATTATAGTATAAAACACCAAAAAAAGCAACAGATTTTTTTTGTATGGCTTGACAGTGTCACTGCTCTTATTATGATTATAAAGTAGTCAGGGCTGTTAATTCATCAGCTTGTCACCACAAAATGGCCCTGGCATCCTACACAAGTCCCCATCATATTCTCTTTCCTTTGAGTTATCCTGGCTCCCTCTTATCATGTGTCCACTATGAAGCACTGCATTTAAAATTAACTCTGGTGATTTTCCCCCAGTTGATTTGGGTTGCTTAGAACAGTACGTGCAGTCGACCATTACAAACCTGGGTGTTAAAATAGACTCTGATTTTAGAATGGAACATCAGGTGAATGCGTTTGTACGGGCCAGTTTTTATCATCTCCGGCATCTGGCAAAGGTCAAGCCTTTTCTTTCGCAGCTGCATTTCCAGTCAGTAATACATGCATTCATTACATCTCGTCTGGATTATTGTAATGCGCTATATTTTGGGCTCAGTCAGGCGTCCCTTGCCCGCCTTCAGAGAGTCCAAAATGCTGCTGCTTGTCTACTGGTTGGAGGGCGCAAAAGGGACCATATCACACCTATTTTGGCTTCTCTACATTGGCTGCTGGTGTGTTTTAGAATTCATTTTAAGATTCTTTTATTTGTTTTTAAGTCTTTAAATGGCCTCAGATCAGCCGATCAGCTGCTCTTGGAGACACCGAGGGCTAGGCGGAGACTTAGGGGGGACAGAGCATTCCCTGTGGGGGCTCCTAAGTTGCCCCTTTACATTAGTCAGGCCTCCTTGTTGTCCACTTTTAAAACTTATTTGAAGACTCATCTGTACCATTTGGCGTTCGAACCAGTATGAGCCTCTGTCTTGTTGAGCTTTTTTGTTTTATGATGGGTGGTTGTTTTAGTGTGATCCTGTTTTATTGTTGTGTTTATTGCTTCTGCTTGTTTTATTGTGTTTTAACAGGTTTTAGTGATATTGTGTTAAGCACTTTGGTCAGCTTCGGCTGTGTTAAACGTGCTATATAAATAAAGTTAATGATGATGATAATTTAAGAGTTTGTGAAGTGTTTATTAGGCACATTAGTCATTTTAATTATAAAATTATGATTTGTGCATTTTTATTGTTTTGCTTTTTACTAATCCTACCATGACAATTTCTAATTAAAATTTCAAAGTATTATTAGATTTTTTTTTTAACACTAATTCAGTCATGTATACAGGCACTGATTTAATACCTCATTTTATTCAAATATGTAATGATTATAGTATAAAACACCAAAAAAAGCAACAGATTTTTTTTGTTGTATTTCTATGTTGTATTTTAGATATCCTAAATATTTAGCATGGTATGGAAATGAATTTGTGGAGGCAAAAATATAAACAATTATCAGAATATGAAACTCTACTGAGGCACATAGGATTAGGAGAGACTGTGAGGACATTTAAACACTTTGATAAAACCATACTGTTTCTTTTCTTGCTCTTTTTACAGGGCTGGTTTTACAGGGGCAAAACTGGGGAAAAAAACCACCAGCAAACATGACATAAAATTATTTCAGTCAAAAACATACACATAGTACACAGTATACTGCAGCTCACAAGAACACAAGCAGATCTTTTAACACAACACAAAACAAGAGCAATGACTTCACATACACACTGATAAGTGCTTGTGCTGTTGCACACTACAATAGACTTGGTAGATAATATTAAACTTACTGTGCACATTGAACTAGCATGAGAGATGTTAGGGTGATTGAAAGAAGGCCTGTTTGAAAGACCCATTTAGATGACCACAGTTGTCTTCATAGCACATGTTCACAGTATAACTGGACAACGATCTCATAGCTACAGGACACACTAGTTTGATCTTTGAAACAGCAGTTTTTCTAAACATTTAAATGCTTTTATCAGAGTTTCTGTTAAGCTATTGCACTCCTAACACAACAGCATGAATTTACTGAGTGGTTTAAAGCACAATATTTGTAAGTTATATTTAGTTAGCATTTACTACATCCTACATCAAGTTGACATTTTTCCTAATAATTTTGCACTGCACTTTATTTGCAGCACATGCTTTGCTACATGTGTTTTAATACAGTGTTTTCTATTGTCAGCTGTCCTCATCCTGACCCCAGATGACAGACACAAGGTCAGTTTGTATAGGTTGCATCTTACTTTCATTGCCAGCTGTATATTAGGGCCATCCTGACGATGCTTTGAGCACGCATGGAGGCTTGGTGTCTGACCTTGTGAAAACACTTACTGTACCTAGGACATGGTAACGTAACACCAGAGACTTTTGTTTGTTTGCTTGTTTTTTTAGGTTTTTCAAAAATGAAACCCTCTGCACATCCAAAGTCCAACCAATAGTACATAGGTGATTTCAGATGATACCTGAATCTCTTATTAGTTTTGTTGCACCTGTTAGGGTGGGGCAATTTAAAACATTATCATTTTCATTAGCTCACAAAGTTTGAGGTTTGTAATTCCCAACATAGCTTCACACAACTTCAGTAAGAGTAAAACACCCGTGGGAAGGGCCCTGACAGAGCCACAGGATAGAGAATATGGCCAGGAACATTTTGACAAAGTAAGACTCTGGTGCTCAAAAGTGGCTGTAACATTAAGTCTTGTTTGTTGTTTTTTTTCTAGTTAGGTGAAAGCTTTTATTAACAGATTTTCCTTACATTTGGTGGAACGTTGGACCATAGACCAAAGAACATGGCAGAGCCAGGAATTGTTTATGGGATTCCTTTATGTAAACAGAGAAGGCTTTTTTTATTTTTTTTTTTATTTTTTTTTTAATTCTGCACTTGTACTGAACTTACTTAAATAAGGCAGGCTGGCAATCTCGTGATTGTCTATCTCTAAGTGTATTTTATGTAGATCTGGATTTAAATGTGCATTTAAAATGTCAAGTATTTTGTATAATTTAAATAAAATGATTAAGAATTGTGCAGCCCTGGTGATGGTGAGCACTATTTCTACCTCTTGACTTCGGCCACTTTTGCTCATACTCCCTGTCTTTCTGTTCTATTACAAGGGGATGTGTCACATCTGGGTGTAGCCATGGTTCCCTTCAAAGTGTTCTCCACACTACTGTTGACATGCTGCTGGATACAAGGCAGCTCTCCTTTATCAATGTATTTATCTACTCATTAAAATTATTTATACTTCCACTCTGATGGCATGGTCTTTGCTAGTGAAAGTAATATTTCTGGGCTATTTTTGTGAGACAAAGGGGAATCAAACCTTTGGCACAAAATCTGAATGCAAAAAATCCCCTACAAGTTGCATCAGAAACTGTCGACTTTTACTGATTTGGATATTTGTAATGACTAGTAATATTCACTGCTTCAGCTCCCAATGGCAACCTGTCACTATACTCAGATCCAACCTCACAGTCGTCTAACATCCCTCTGCACTGAGACAAAGTAAATGAGTCAGTCACCACACTTTCTTCTGTATCTGCCTCTTTCTCTCCATCGCCGCTCTCAGTGTCACCCTCCTCCTCATCCTGCTGGGTGCCATTAATCTTCCTCTGAGACTCAGTCTGAGGTGAGTGGATGTTAAAGGTCACATTGAGGTTCCTCTCCATGTGGTACTGGTCTTTGGCCTTCAGGATCAGCTTGTATGTCTTGCTACGATATTTGTACACCAAATGGAAGCATGTTGCACCAAGCAGAGGCACAGTAGACACGGTCAGGAGGCAGATGCTGACCGAGATGATGATGAACAGGTTAGGAACTCTCCTCCTGGTTGTGAACAGCACCTGGACCTCACAGTTCTCTCCTCTGTAGGTCAAGCACAGGGAGTAGTTGGTGTCAGGGAGTAAACCGCTGAATAGATATGTGTGGACACCCTCCTTGATCCTTGACCACTGCACAGCTGAGTGTTTGCGATCATCAGTGACGCACAGGTACAAACCATTGGAATGGACTTTTGCAGAGACACCTGAAAAGCCATGGCGGTCTTCGCTGTCATTGTGGAAGCTCCCAGCTGTGGCAGCTGTGGTGGCCCGGTGGGTGCTTTTGTGTCTGGGTGTGAGGAGAGGGTTAAGTTGCACCGATGCCTCTGTTTCTGATACCTCTAATGCAATGACACCAAAGTCAAATGTGTACTGCTTGATATCATCCAAGCTTCCATTTAAGACATGGATAGAAATGTATCTGGTATTAGCCTTCAAGCCACATTTACTAGCAAGTGATGGAGATATTGTTGCCTCCTCATAAGACTCTGCAGTGCGCGCTAAAGTTGGTACAATGTTCGTGTCTATTTTCTTGACACGTGGCAGATGCACAGAATCAAAATCAGATATTTTGTTTGTTGTTTGGTGTATAGATGGGTATGTTTTAGCATAACGACGTGTTGTGATCTTTTGTTTTATAGGTGTTGGTTTTGGTGAAGCTACAACCTCCACTGACACTGTATCCTCAGCTCTGCCAAACTCATTTGTGGCTGAGCAGCTGTAGTTGCCACCATCCTCTTTCCTAAGCTGTAAGATTGTAAGAGTCCCCTTACTAAAGACTTTGAAAGGATGATGAGGCAGCCGAGAGTCCTCCTTTGATTCTGCTGAGTCATCTTCACTGAAAGGCAAAGCCAGCTCCAGCGTCGGGCTTTTACTGTGAATATTCCACATGACCAGTGGCTTTGGGTTTCCTTTAAATTCACAAGTCAGGACCAACCTACTGTCCTCATAGAAAGTTGTGTTGTGGATGTTTGGCTCAGTCCGTATTGTGACATTTGGGCATGTGCACTTTGATTCAGGCAGTTTCTTGATCATTTGTCCTTTAAGTTTCTCTGGTGTTGCACAAATTATCAAATTCACCTCTGGTACTGAGATGGTAGTTGTTGAAATCCAATCTCTGAGCCAGTCAAGCAAGCAGGTGCATGCGTAAGGATTGTTATGAATCTGCAAATGTGACAAAGACACCAAACCATCAAACGTCCCTTCAGCTATGGTTATAAATTTGTTATTGTTGAGTTGGAGGGATCTCAGGTCTTTGAGGTTGGAGAAAGTGTCCCTGGGCAGGTGGACCATCTCATTGTGGTTCATTTTCAGCAGGTGCAGGGCTCTGAGATTCTGCAGATCCTCCCAGGGAAAGTCAATAATTTTATTGTGGCTGATGTCAAAGTTACGCAGATGAACCAGGAGAGCAAAGGCCCCTTGTTCTATGGAGATGATCTCATTGTGGGCCAACCACAGTGATATCACCTTGGTGACATTGTCAAAACATCCTGATGATATCAGACTGATCTTGTTAGCAGAGAGACTCACAGTTGTAACATTAGGAGGCAAACCATCTGGGACTTCGGCTAAATCTTTGTAGGAGCATTCAGCAAAATGGTGGCCATATTTATCTGAGCAGGTACAGAGTTCAGGGCAGCCAAGCCCAGTGGTGAAGACTGTGGCAATCCACAGTGTGAAGTAGAGGTCTGCCATGTTCTGCCCCTGCAAAAATAGTGTCACAGTCCATTCATCAAACAGTAGATTAAACTTCATTTATTTAGCATGTTTAATTTGGCATTAAGAAAACAAAGCACTACAGCAAAAAATTAAAGTGTCCTTTTTATGAAGAAAGAGGAAGAGATGCTATGTTGTCAATTCAGAGCAATTGTGGAGCATTTAATCAACTTAATAGTTTTTTTAAAACTTGTTTGGTGGTACTTGGAAATTGCTCAAGGTCTTCTTGCATTCATATATGGAGTTGTATCCACTCCACCTGGTCACAGTAACTGTCACATCCCTTGAAACACAGGCCGAGGTTGAGGTGTGGCAGCGATCTTTGACTCAAGCCTATTACTCAACCCTAGACCTAAACATAGTTATAACTCATTTGAAAGTCTCACTCTGAGTCTCTCACACCCAAACTGGAAAACTCAAAAGCCTGTTCTGTTTGTTATTGTATACCGTCCACCTGCTCCTTATTCAGAGTTTTTAAGTGAATTCTCAGACTTTCTGTTTGATTTAGTGCTTAGTACAGATAAAATAATCATAGTAGGCAACTTTAATATTCATGTAGATGCTGACAATGACAGCCTCAACAATGCATTCTGTTCATTATTAGACTCAGTTGGCTTTTCTCAAACTGTAAATAAACCCACTCACTGTTTTAATCACACTCTTGAACTTGTTCTGATGTATGGCATCGAAACTGAACACTTAATAGTTTTTCCTCATGGGAAACAATTCCACTACAGTAGATGTCTATCCAACAATGCTGTTACCACGTTTAAGGAAATAATTCCGTCATTATTTACTTCAGTGCCATTTGCCAACACAGTGGAGGGAGGCCACCTTAACTTTACTTCCACAGAAGTTGATAATCTTGTTGATAGTACTGCAGCCTCCCTGCCTAATACACTTGATACCGTTACCCCTCTGAAAAGGAAGGCAATGAAACAGAGGAGGCTAGCCCCATGGTACAGCTCGCAGCTCCGCTCCCTAAAACAGGCATCACGAAAAATGGAAAGGAGGTGGCGCTCCACTAAGTGCTCAAGGGGGATTTGTTGGGTTTTCCTATGTAATAATAGGGATAACAGTAAGGTCTAGACCTTACTCTGTCAAGTGTCCTGAGATGACTTTTGTTGTGATTTGGCGCTATACAAATAAAATTTGATTTGATTGGATTTGTTTGTGTTTATTGTCATCTTAACTTTCCATATTGTAATTGTGTTTTGTATGCGCACCATCTACTGTACTGTATAACTGAACATCCTGGAAGAGTGATTCATTCTTTTCCTAAGGTATAAATTCTAAAAACCTCTGAGGCTAATTTGTGATTACGGGCTATATTTAAAAAACTGACATGACCGGAGTAAAAGCTTCAGCAGCTCATTCTCAAACATGGTCATCCTGCTTTTAAGAAATTAACATGTTTAACTCGAATGTTATTCTCGAACTGGCATTAGTGTCGAGGCGGCTATGTATTCTGTGAGATAAGCTGTGTCTCTGTTTGTCAACACCCTCTGTGGTGTCTGGGCAAACAGAAAAAAAAAAACATGCGCAAACAATTTTTCAGCTGATAACTACGCAGCAGCCTCGGTGCTCTGTCCTTGGTGCTGAAAGCCAGCCGCACGTCGATTCTGCGTGTTTGCAGCCTGCCATCCAAATCGCTAGAATTCACTTGACACTATAAAACCAGCATCGTAGCTGTCAGTGTGATCTGACAATAAGATCAAAGTTCTCTGCAAAACGACCTCGCCCAGGGTCGCACATAAAAAATTGATGCGTGGAGAAAATAAGATCCCTCATCTCTGCGTTAGTAGCCTAAACCTGGGCAACAAGCTTACCTGCGTTTGTGTTTTATTTCTGCAGAGAAACGCGAATACGCCAGTCAAAGCAGCGCATCCTACATGTTGTCTCGAAGTTTGAAGCTGAGGCCGAGTCCATGCTTCTGTGGGTCTGCTTCTACATGGTGCTCTTCGTGTCTCCTGCCTGTGTCATTCCTCCTCCCCTCATCCTCTCCTCTCGACAGAACAGTATCGACGTTTCCACATTAAAGGAGAACTACTGCTATTGTCTGAGATCTCTCTGCATCATTGCAACATGAAGAATGAGATTTCTTCCGCTCCTGCTCTTATCTTTTCCAGACACTGGCGTGGCTTTCATTTATCTGCAGTAAGAAAAAAGACTCACCATAGTGGTGTCCAGCAAAGCTAATTTAATAAAATAACTTTCTGGCAAATCACATTATTTCTCATAATAGCTGAGAAATAATTTCAATGAAAATGTTTTAAACTGTAAACAGTGCTGTCTTATTATATTATTCAAAATGTATTCATTTTGAAGACCAGGCCTTTAACATACTAGTAAACAAGATGGAATTTGCTGACCACAGTTGTTTAGATCTCATTTTAATTAAATACCATTGATGCATGTCTTGTAGTTATGACACAGTCTGACACTTCAGTGAACCAATACAACACTAATAGACTTTAACTAGCAAGTAAAGCAAATAAGACAGTGGAAAGATAAAAAAATAAAAGCTGCATTTACATTGTCTCAAGCAGGGAGATTCCTCTGCTATGTTGCAGTTCATGTTCAGGACATACTGTATAGTTAAAAAAACAACAACAGAGAAATTGAGTGAATTACATTATTATACAAATTTATTATTATAGTCTTCATAGTTTTCAATTTCATTCAGTTGTTTAAACAGACTACAATGATAGAACAATATATAGGATATAGGATAACTCTGAGAGAACAAAGGGTATTAATAAACCAGCATTAAGCAAAATTTCATGTGGCCTGTACACCCTGTGTCACAGCCTCTGGGTTTTATTTTGAAAGTTTAAAGGACCTTTCATAGTGTGTCTCACATCCTGTTACCACCATGCACAGTGGGTTTGTGTTCCATACTGTAGATGGCAGCAAATGACCAGTGAAATCTGGACAGAGCTCTGAATGTCTCAGCATCAACATATCACAGCAGTGAAGCAAAACAGTAGTGCTTAAATTAAATGACATACCATGAAGTCATTCAAAGAGCACATCTATTAAGGATTGCTGCCAGAAACATTTTGATTCATTGTGCTGAGGACACAGTACAATGTGGAAGATGAAGAATTAACTTTTACAGTGTGGAGGAGCAAATGAATGTGGACTTGGGACCTCTTATTTGCTGAGAAGAGAAGCCTGGTTACAATCATGAAGTGGCATCTGACCTCAGGCATGTTTTCAATCAACAGGCAGTGCAGGCTGCTCAGGCCTGATGCATGCAGGACTTCAAGTATGAAAGTTCGTATGACTTCAGTACCATCTGCCACATCTATAAAGAGCCTCATTTCCAGCAGATGGAACTATGATCCTTTTCTGAGGAAGGTTTCAATTCAGAAGAGCCACAGTCTCTACTCTGAGGTAAAACAGCAAACATACTTTGATTTTCTGCTTTGTAAGAGTGTTAGCTACTGTCTATGTTTATGTGGCCTGCACTTTTGATTGTCTGTCTTCACCAATGGTTTTACAAACCCAAACAACCAGCTCCTTTAGAGGATAATTCTGGATTGTTTCAACATGGTATCATTCCCATAAATGGGGCCATTGTGGCTCTGGGTCACAGTGACTTTGCCCTCACCACCTCTGTTGTAGAGATTCAGGGAAACAATCCCTAACCCCAACAGTGGAAGGTACTGAACGCTGTTGTAATTGGAGAAAAACAGTGGCTACAGGTGGAACAGGCCTCAACACAAGACCAGCTGACAAACACTCAGCTCTCCATTACAGCTGCCTTGGATTAATCCCAGGTAAAAAAGTCAAAAATGTGACAGGTGATTAGGTCAGCCAACATGTGGCATCGGACATGGATCCACTGGGAATTGATGCCAGTAGGAAAAAAATGCATATGTTGTTGTTATATATTTTGAAAGAAGTTATAACTTCCTGAATAGAGGATTAAGTTTTGTAAAGTTATTTACTGCTGTCATTAAAACTCCTGTGAACTCAGGTTTGATCTACAACTTCAATAACCCACCAGGGGTCAGTCTCTACAAACTCATGTACTGCTGACAAACCTTCTTACAACCTGAAGAGCTTTGTTAAAATTATAGCCCAAACCACAACACTTCCAATGCCAAATATGTCAGGATGACTTACAGAAATGCTACTAAATCTGATGCACTACACCTTGAATATTTCTTTAAAAAAACCCATAGCATCCATATTTCATTAAACCTTTATACTTAATTGATTTTTTGTCCATTTGGGGGCAGCCCAACCAGGTGTACCACACAACAGAGGCATTTTTCATCCTGGAAAGTTGATATAGTAAACATGTTACCTAACAGTTGCAATATACATCCAGTAGATATGGAGCAACATTAGCATTCATTTGGAGCTGCGTTAGTGTCCAGCTGATGAATGTAAGTCCAGTATTCATTCCCCTTTCTCCACAAACTCCTCAGGATAATATCTCTTTAGTCACTAAATTCTTCGCTCTGTTCATCGTTAGTTACTTCCTTTGTCTTCTGCTTGGCCAGGTAATATACAACAGGTTTATCAGTGCCTTGTCACTGAAAACAGCTGCATGCTGTTGCTATAAATGAGGCTGATAGGAGTGCTGAGTGAACCAATGAGTTTATTACTGGGCCATTAAACCAAAACAATGACCTGAAAGACATTAAAGAGCTGAGAGGAACTACTAATTAATTATCTGTGGTTTTGTTACCTTTCACAATGAACATAGTGTATTTATTTCCCCAGCCTCCACATCCTTAGTTGTCCACATTGCTACCTTCTGTACTCCTGTCCAATGTGAACACTTAGGTGCAGAAGATAGCAATTTAATATGCCATGTACATTTGCATCAGTTTAGATTTGTTTTAGCTGGGTTAACCACACCTGGCATCAAAGAGCCTACCACTATAGATTTGAATATACCGTATTAAAGTGATCTTACTGATTAGTTTTTTTATTGACTTGGGTTGTGGAGGCTTTTTTATTGACTATAAAGGACTGGTCATGGCATTAGCTTTGATAAACATAAGTATATTAACATGCTGATGTTTAGTGTTTACCATGGTCACAATCTTAGTTTATCTAACATTTGCTAATTAGCAAGAAACAAGCAGTGCAGCTTGAGGGTGAAGGGAATGCCATTATGTTTGCAGACAATTGGGAATTTATTAATTACTGCCCAAATTAAAAACCTGACCTGATGATTGCAAAAGAGGAAAAGTCATCTAATCCTCAAAAGGCAGGAATGTCTGTGTCTAAATTTATATGACAATTCAACCAGAATCTGTTCACACTTTTCACTTTAGTCCTCATGATGGCATTAAGGGAAAGTCCAGTGAGTTTTTACAGTTCATTTTGTATCTATGTGCCAAAGCTGGAGGTAAAGTCAAGGGATCCCCAAAGTCATTTACATGCATGTATCTTGAGCCAAGCTGCTACCATGGCTAAAAATCCCAACATCTCAATATACAGTAACTCCTTCACTTCATTGAAAGCCACACATTGATAATAGTGTGTCTAAAGGAGGATTTCTCCTTCTAACACACTTGAACTAACAAAAGCACCAGAGGTGGGTGTACAGTCAGTCAATATACACCGCTTTGCATCAGAATCCAGCCGAGGCAGAATTTAATCAAGTCGTCCCTCATATTTCACACAGGCAGAAAATTAAAACGAGATCACATGTGTCAGTGCAAATTGTAGAGAGGCCGAACCTCACCTCCACCACCATCAGCCCCACCCCCATCGACCCTTCTCCTGTGTGCTCCATCCATTTCACCAGTAACTTAAACCCCTCGGTGGAGGAGAGCAATGTGATTTTGGCGGTAATGCATTTCTATTGCTCTTCCTGTGATGCTTTGCAGTATTACTGACTATCACACCACTGTATGGAGAGCGTCGAGGGCTTCAGAGCACCTCATTTACCTCCATAATCATCCACAGCCATCTACATGTTAGCATGTAGTATCGCACTCACAGTGTACAGAGTGAGCGAGATAGAATATGGCTTAACACAAAGAGAGTCCTTGCACATGGCTGAGCTGAAGGAGATTTAACATAGTGAAGACACTGCATTATGCAAAAGTGTTATGGTTTCTCTCTGACAGTGCTAGTAAATTGGATGATGTTTTTTGATGATGCAATACTGAGTTAAGGCATGGCAGTGCATTTAATACCTCTTTGATATGTGTCCTCCTCCCCGAGTGGAGCCCTTCTTTACTCATCCCACATTGAGACGCCAGATTCTCAACTTGCCTAAGTGATGCTTCCCACAAGCTGCTGTGACTCTTGGAGTTCAAGCTCAGAGAGTCAACAGGACAACAAAACTGTGTTGGATTAGCTTGTGGATGAACAGGAGCTGAGAGTGTTAAACTTTACTAAGGGGATAAAGGATTGGAAATGTGTTTTTCCAGTTCAGATTCTCAATAAATAAAATAATTTTTAAAAATATGTTATTTTTGGTGAGGTTTACAGTTTTTGTGAGAAGAAAGGATAAAGGGATCATCTACAAAGTTATATGCTTGAAAATAAACAAGAATGAATCCTGTTACAGTGGCTAAGGTTGAGTGAAATAAGGGAGTTACACTGTTGCTGTAATACGTACAAATGCATGCTCATATACAGCAACACACAGCATGGCAGCCTTGGCTTTGTTCTACAGCTCTTAGCTGTTTGTCTAGAGTTACACAGGCTCCATTTACTCCTGATTGCTTGTGACTGGTGACCTCTGAACCCAATCCACACAGGTGCTACACGAGGAACCATCAATACTGGCAGCAGGTTGTTTTTGCCTCTGGGTTGGTGGATAAATGATGCCCTTGGTGGACACACACCTGACCAAATGAGAAACACACACACACACACACACACACACACACACACACACGATGTTTAAAGGATGCTTTTGCCCATTTACTACAAACTGATTAGACTTTATAATGCAGCCAAACATTTCCCTACTGTGTTTTAGAAATGTGGATGTACTTTGTCCTCTATTCCAAGCAACCTTTTATTTCCATGTGATCTGAAAATCAACTGGCAGAGATTTAATAAAATTTAAATGGAGGAAAAAAAAAAGGTTATTGCCCAGCTCGACCCCAGAGTTATAAATGAAAATCCTAGGTAGTAATCTATGTGATTTAGTTGACTCACGGGATAAAAAGATCAGAAATGTGTTTTGACTGCAAATTATTTTATTTA